TTTTTTTTTTAAACACACAAACATTAACATCCTTATTGCAAAAAGAACTCTTAAAAATGAATTGGAAAAATCTAAGCAGAAATTTAGTGAAGAATATGAGCAGATAAATCACACACATCCCCCAAAGAAACATAAGTGGCTAATAAGTACATTCTAAGATCTGGTTGCGGTGGGTGCGGGGCTGGCTGGGCCCGTCTCAGGTACCCCAGGCGGTGGCTGCGTTGCTTGCCTGGATGTGGGTGGGGCAGGGTGGGACAGCTAAGGCTGTGTTTTGAGTGATGGTAGGACTTTCTGGTTCCAAGAGTGAACAGAAAAGTCATGGGATTTCCTAAAGTTTCTATTCAAAGTGGTGGGAAGATTACCTAGTGAATACATTTTAAATAGACAGTTGGAGGTAGAAATACATTGTGCTTTATCACAAATGATACTTTGTCAACATGCTGGTTGTGTATTTAAATGCTTGGCTAGTAGATTCAACAAGTGCTGGGTTTTGCCCATCTTTTCTGATCTGAAAACCACATCCTGAAAACTACATGTTCTGAGGTATGACAAAAGTCCATTCTTCACACGGGTATTTTATTCCATATGAGAAGAAATGGCTGGGAACCTCTTCTTCCTTACTCCATTGGCATATCTTAGTTCGGTAAAATAACTGTCATTTTGAAGGCCTACCCACTGTGGGATTGAATAACAGTTCTGTAATTTCCCAATGAACACTGTATCTGGGAGGTAATCTTAGAAGGCAGGACAGCCCCTGACCAGGTACCCGGGTTATATGCTCAGAATCAAGGGATGTGCTGGAATCTTTGCACAGTGGGCCCTTGCTCTCTACAGTAATGTATGTTTTTCAATTTTTAGGTGGTTAAATCCCTTCAGGTGGATTTTGGGTTCCTCAGACAATTGCTCCAACTGAAGTTTGAGGACCGACTTAAAGAGGAATCTAGCAATCTCTTCATTGTTCTACATGACAGGATCCTAGACATCGAAAAACATTATCGACAGGTAGAAGTTCTCTCATTTCCTTTGTTTTGTATGTGGATTGATCTTGTGCATATATAAATACTGCAGTTTTGAGTTCTTAATTTAATTTGCATAGGTTGTGTCTCATAGAGTAGCTAATACTATGGCTTTACTATGTGTCAGAAACTTCTCTAAATACTTTGCGTATGAACTCATTTAATCCTCATGCTAATCTCATGAAGTATGTACAATTCTTTTTCCTCTTCTATGGATTATAAAACTGAGGCCCAGAAAGGTTAATTAATTTGCTCAAAATCACCAGTTAAAAAACAGCAGAGTTTAGATTCCAGGCCAGAAGGTTTGATGCTTGAGTTCTTGCTCTTAACCACCATTTTATATGATCTTATTTGTTAATTAATGACTCTGTAGGAGCCAGAGACATAAAAACTGCCGCTTCAAGGAATTTCCTAAAGTATTTGATCGGGGTAGTACACTTATCTGTCATTAAGTACAGGCATCACTATTATTTCTATGCTAGAAAAGTAACGAAAAAAATGTTTTGTTGACCACACCATACTAAGTACCACGCTAAGCTTTTTAAATATATTTACTCTTTAAGTCCCTCAAAATCTTAAAATGGAAATTCTGATCTACAAATAAACTGAGCTTGCCAAGGTCTAGTAACTTGCTTAACGTCAGACAGATGGCAAGGGACATGGTGATGTTTAAATTCAATCCTTTCTGACTCTAAAGCCTATTCATTGTTTACTCTCCATGCTAGAATCAGAATGAATATCAGAATCGAGGGCATTTTTAAAAAATATATCTCTCTCATTGTGACCTAAACAGATATGATTAAATTATTTGATTAATCAGAAATGACTCTAGTTTACAGATCAGTCACTCTAGATTTCTTTTCACAAACATATTATGCTCAAAAAATTTAAAGACCAGAAGATATAAATCACAAATAGATTTTAATACTTCTAAAAGCAGTTCTAGGAAGGTTCTAAAAGACTTTAATTGATATGCAAAATGAAATGAAGGGTTCAAATTATCTGTATTTATTTTAACTGTATGATTTTGCTATTGCTTTTGGTTAAGTGTAGTAAAAATTGAATGTTAGTGAGGGAGAAATGAGAGATTGTGATAATTTGGATGATAGTTCTTTACTGTGAGTCTCTCCCTGGTAGGTGTGAGTCATACTTGGAAATACATTGTGGTGCTGATTGTATTTATTTTTGGTTTGCAGAATGAGGATAACATAAGAAAATGCTTCCATCAGCAGTTAGCTGATGCCATTACTGTTATTAAAGGAATGTACCAGGTGGGTTTTGGGTGCTGTCGTGAGGTAGCTTTTATTCCAATGACTGCATGGAGTGGGGCTCACCTTGGATCTATGTTTTTAGCTCTGAAGGCCAGTTTCCTTAATTTTCAGGTCACCTTAGGGAGATCAGTCCTAAGGCTGTTTATTCCCACATTAAATTTACCAAAATAACACTTTATGGTGACAGATGTAACTTTCCAGAAACTAGAAAATTACAATCCGTTATCCAAGAAACCCGGGCAAGTACTGAAGTAATTCAGAGCTCATATGGTGAGGATGCAGTTGGATAGAAGAAGGTTAAATAGTCCTAAGGGAGATTTCATAGGGTCTGCTTTTTATTTGTTAAAATCAGTATGTGTACTAGGTTGCAACCACATGCGATTGCTGGTATTTGATCTTTTTAGCTCCAAAACTGGCCATTTCATATGGTTCAACATAATAAATATTGATAATGATTACAGATGTCTTAAGGGCACTTTATCATATCTGAAATCTGCAGTCCGTGAACAGAAAGCTACAAGCCTAAGAATTAAGACAGGATAATAAAGGAGCAGAAAAAGACACCAGCAGCATGAATGTGTGAATGTATTTATTTATTTAATAAACATTTAGATTGCAATTACATGGACTATTCCATGTGCTTCACAAAGATCTGTTCATCCTTAGAACATGTCTGTGAGATAGATACCATTATGGTCCTCATTTGACAGATGAGGAGAGTGAGGCAGAGAGAGTCAGTACTTTGCCTAAGGTCACATAGCAATTATGAATTACATGGCAGAGCCAGGATTTGAGCCCAGCTAATTCCAGAGTCCTTGCTCTAAAACATACACAATGTGCTTTTTTTCTTTTGGCCTTGACCTTGGTGTTGTCAGCACCACACTCTACCAATGAGCCAACCAGCCAGCCTACAATGCTAACTCTTAATTACATTACTATACTATGCAGACAGTTCATTAATATTCCCTATATGTTTGGAGCGCCTACCTATTATTAAGATAATGCTGAATAACCCAATAGAAAAATGAGCAAAATATATGAAAAAGAAATTTTTAAAAATCCAAGTGGTCAACAAACATAAGATGTTCTATTAATAAATAAAAATGCAAATGAAACAAAAATATTGCTTTCTCTATCGGATTGGCAGAAATTTAAAAGATTGATGTTTTCTAGTGTTTTCAAGCTGTGGGTAAATGAACAAACTCATAAACTGAGGAAGTACAAGTTGGTACCACCGTTTTAGATGAAGATTTGGCAAATTCCAATGAAAACTCAAATGTGCATTCATTTTGACCCAGCAATTCCATTTGTAGTAATCTGTTCCACTATCTAAAATGAGTTTAGGGGCCGGCCTATGGCTCACTCGGGAGAGTGCGGTGCTGATAACACCAAGGCCCCGGGTTCGGATCCCATATAGGGATGGCCGGTTAGCTCACTGGGTGAGCTTGGTGCTGACAGCACCAAGTCAAGGGTTAAGATCCCCTTACCAGTCATCTTTTTAAAAAAAATAAATAAATTAAATAAATAAAATGAGTTTAAAAAAATTAACAATGACTAGCAGCACTATTGTACAGTTTTTAATATAAAATAATGGAATAATACTATTTAATGATGCATATGATAGAAAAATACCCAGCCATTTAAACGGAGAGAAAGTTATATGTACTGATATAGAGGGATTCCCAAAATATATTTTAAATGAAAAAATAATGTAGCCGTATAACATATTATAGTAGAATATCATTTTGTGAGAAATGTAAGAAAATAGTAATATGTGTTTGTATGTATACATTTATATATGTGTATGTATGTGCTTTGGATTTTTTAAGCTTAAAAGGCTACTCTGAAGAATGAGGGAAAAAGAAAACACTTTAATTTTAACTTTTTGTATTGTTTCAGTTTTTATAACAATTATGCTTCAATTTTTATAACATTATGGGTTAATTTATAGTAAAAAAAAACTTTTGCTTTAAATACATTTCTTTTTTCCCCTTCTTCTCTCTTTCTTTTTTTTCTTTTCCTTGACATTGATTTTTTTCAGCAATTTAGGCAATGTCCCTCATTCTGAGTGTCCCTCTTTCTGGATTTGTTTGCTTCCTCTAGGGGATGTCTAACTTGTTCCTCTGTCTTCCGTATTTGCTCTAAATTAGAATTTTTCTCTGCAATCATGTTTCGATTCAAGTTCACTTTTAATGATTTTGACAGCAATCCTTTATAGGCAGAACTTTTTAAAAGTAAATTTTTAATTGAAGTATGATATATATACATAAAAGTGCACAGATTATAAGGATACAAATTAAAGTATTTCTTAAAAATAAACATACCCAGATAATTATCACCTAGATCAAAAATTAGAACTGGCACCCTGTCATTATCTCCCCCTCCTCTCCAAAGGTAACCTTGATCCTGATTTCTGTCATCATAAATTTGTTTTGCCTATTTTTGAATTTTAACATAAATAAAATTATACAGTACTTCTTTGTGTTGATTTCTTTCACTGGATATTATATTAGTAAGACTCATCTATATTTTTCCATGTAGCAGTAGCTTGTTCTTTTTCATTGTCATATAGAATTCTGTTATATAGGGGCCGGCCCGGTGGCGCACTGGATAGTGCGCCGCTTGGGAAGCGTGGCGGCGCTCCCGTCCGAGGGTTCGGATCCCACATACAGACCGGCTCCCGCTCACCGGCTGAGAGAGGCGCGGGAGCAACACCAAGGCTTGCGGTCCCGTTGCGGGTCCCCGGTCCGGTACGGGGCCAACACTGAGGGTTGCAATCCGTTGCCGGACATGGAAAAAAGACAAAAAAAAAAAGAATTCTGTTATATGATTATAAAATACAATTGATCCATTGTATTGTACATGGATATTTGCGTTGTTTCCAGTTTTTGCCTGTGACAAATATGGTGCTGCTGTGGACGTTCTTGTACATGTCTTTCGATGCACACATGTGTGCATTCTGTGAGTATATACTGGAATGTAATTGCTCGATCATAGAGTATGCATATTTACAATTTTAATAGGCGCCTTCCAGTGGTGTATGAGAGTTCCATTTGTTCCACATCCTTACTAGTCCTTATCAGTCTTTTAGATTTTAGCTTTTCTTGCAAGTATGTAGTGGTATCTCTTTGTGTCTGACTTGTGTTTTTAAAAGATTGCTGTGGTTGCTCTGAGAAGAATGGATTATAGAAAGGTAACAGCAGAACCAGGAAGAACAGTTGCTGTGGATTAAATGTTTGTGTCCTCCCAAAATTCATGTGTTGAAATCCTGACTCCCAATGTGAGGCTATTGAGAGGTGGGGCCTTTGATAGGTGATTGGGTCATGAGTCAGGGCCCTCATGAATAGAATTAGTGCCCTTATCAAAGAGACTCTGGAGACCTCCCTCCCTCCTTCTGCTGTGTGAGGACACACAGAAACAATGTCCCTCCATGTGCCAGGAAGCAGGCCCTCACCAGATATTAATTCTGCCAGTGCCTTGATCTTGGACATTCCAAACTCCAGAACTATGAGAAATAAGTTTCTGTTGCTTATAAGCCACCGGGTATTTGGTATTCTGTTATGACAGCCCGAACAAACCAAGACAACGATGGAAGGTTATTTCAGTAGTCTCTGTAGGAGATGGTGGTTTAGACTGGGAGGATAGCAATGGAGGTGAAGATAGAGAAAAGTGTATTTTAAAGATAGAGACATTAAGACTTGTTTGTGGATTAGATGTAGGGGGGAAGTGAAAGGGCAGAATCAAGGGTAACTCCCAGCTTTTTGGCTTGAACAGTTGGGTGGCTGGTTCCATTTCCTGATTGCAGAAGACGGGGGGAGGAAGAGTATGTTAGAATCCAGAGTTTTGTTTGTTAAACTTAAGCTCCACAAGGGCAGAGTTAAATTGTGGATTTTTAACTTCTTACCTATAAGTATCTTGTTTCCATAGACGTGATATAAATTCCCTGAGTGTATAATGACTCTAAAAGTTTTAAATTGCCTTTATTAAATTTTGAATTGGGACAAAAGACAAAAGAATATTTATAAGATATATATGGCGTAAAGACTCACAGCACAAAAAATACTCACGTTAACAACTGCTCAATTAAGAACATAACCAGAGTCTTTGAAATCCTCTGTAAACCTCTCTGCGTTCTGACCTCTACTCCCCTCCCTGCCCAGAGGCAACCATAACCTGAATTTTGTGCTTAAAAAATTCCCCCTTTTTATTATTTGCATTTAAACTTTTATTTCCAAACAAAATATTGTTAAATTCTACATTTTCAACTATATATATGCATAAAGTAATATTGTATGCATGTATTCTTGACTTGTCTTTCATTCCAAAATTATGTTCCTGAGATTCATACTTCTTGATATATATTCCTACAGTCTCTTCATTTTCACTGCTGTATAATATTCCATACCATGATTATTCCACAGCATTCTTATCTGTCATTGTAATACTTTTTCTGCTGTTACAGTTTTATTCTGAATATTCTTAGACTGTCTCATGGGCAAGAGTTCTTCTAAAGTATATTTCTAGGAGTGGAATTGTTGGGTAGTGGGTAAGTGCATTTTCACACTTCCTAGATGATGGTAAATAGTCTTCCAAATAACTTCCAAAGTGACTGTAATAAAAGACATTCCCTTCAGCAGTATGTAAAAATATCTGTTACTCTGTCTCTTTACTAAGACTTGATATCGTTTGACTTTTTAATTTTTGTTAAACTATGGACATTAAGTTGTATTTCATTGTGGCTTTGATTTGTGTTTTTCCTGATTATTATTATTATTATTAACCATTTTTTCATATGTGTATTGGCCATTCTAGTTCATTTTTTATTGTGTTGTTTTCTTATTGATTATAAGAATGTTTAAATATATATACATATATGGATTCTAATTTTTTTGTGAGGCTGGCTGGTCCAGGGATCTGAACCCTTGACCTTGGTTTTATAACACTGTGCTCTAACCAACTGAACTAACTGGCCAGCCCACAGATACTAATATTTTATTTGT